AGAGAGAGAGAGAGAGAGAGAGAGAGAGAGAGAGAGAGAGAGAATGATTTTTATTCTCGCGATCTCGAAATAAATCGGTCCATTTTCCTCGTCGATGAAATGATTTCAATTAGTTTATAGATACGCCAAACGGATTAAATATTTAATAATTCCAAGGAATATCTCGGATTAACCAGACGATTGCGTTGCACAGCGTAAGAGAAAGAAGAAACGGAATACCAACTTGACTCTGCATGTATATATATATATATATATATTTCTGCAGAATTTACGCGTCTTCGTAAATAAACACGAGAAGGAACGGCTCGAGTCGGTGTCGATCGCAGTCGATGTTGCTCCGTTCGGTTTCTCATCGACGTTTTCTTATGACGATCACGTACGCCTTCGCTTTGTCCCTTCGAGAGAGAGAGAGAGAGAGAGACTCGACGAGGTTCCCGTTGGAGACGAGACGTCCTTCGGGATAGTCAAAGAGAGAACGACAGACGCGGAGAGAGGAAAAGAAAAAAAAAGCTTTCGCGCGTTCTACGGTGACGTGGGCGAGTGGCCGTGGCCGCAGAGGCACCATCGATATTGCAAGTTAAAACGTCGGATTACAAATTGCCCGGGCGAATTTAATCGCGAGCCGGTAGTCAATCGAGCTATCGACGTAATGCAAACGCGGGGGCGCCCATGCGCTCTTCAATTAGCTCGCTTAATCGCAACCGCCCGCCATCTCGCCAGTGGAAAATTCGCACGGAATCATCCCATCGTGTACGATGCCACATCGGGCAGACACGTCGGCGCCGCCGTTCACTGTTCACCGTTCATCGTTCACCGCGCGCGAGAAAGCAGACGACCTCGTAATTAGCGCGCGGTTTCACACCTAGAGATGAATATCCGCGGTGAGAATGAATATACCGAAGATACGAGAACATCAATACAATAATTCCGGTGAGAAAGTGCAAGTACATATAATGATTTCGCGTCCAGAACGATCGATCGGAGATTTGAATTATTTACAGTTCTTAAAATGCTTAAATTAGCATCAAAGCATCAAATTATTGATATCCTCTTAAAATGCTTAACTGGCATCGAAATTATTGAATTGTCTAACGATGTAATATTATTATTACTTTAGTTTCTGTTCATGATTGCGTTTCAAGACCGAAAAAGATTTTAGCGCGGATTTGCAGAATTGGATATGTATATAAATTCATTCTAAAATATTTAAGCACTAAGATTCGCTTTCATCGATGATAGATTTATCTCTCTTAATTGATTATTCTCGTCGGTTTAATACAATCAATTGTAATTGTAATTGTTAAAAATTTATACAGACGAATATTGTCCTATATTATTCGGTATATTTATTAATTGTCTGTTAAGATCGTTATTAATATGCTGCTTTCTCGCTTGGAGATATGTTGGGAATACAAGTATAACCACATTATCAGAATATCGGTTGTTGTTAACGGCTGCTCCGATATTATCAGATATCAAAAGTATCCCTCGAGGCGGAAGCATATAAATCGTACCAATAGGATTGACTCTACGATTCAATATCGACATTAATATTTAGAAGAAAAGATGGTATCCTTGATATTGAAAGTAAAATTCTGTTACATATGAAATTGATGCCAGATACGCTAGCTCGTGTTCCTCGCTATCGATTGTATTTCAATATTTGTATCAAAAATTCAAGATATTTGACTCTTAGTCCTAGTTGCATCAATATTTTAAAGCCAAAAAAAGACAGAGACAGAAAGAATTTTAAGCCTCGCTTAAAATCAAAGTAACATTGGTGCAACTGAGCCTTAATGCGATATTAATGGAAATTTTTAGATTCTTATATAATAAAGTAGAGCGAATTAATTCATCATCGCGATATTAAGGTATATTGAGTTAAGAGATTTTTATCGCGGAATACGGAAAGCGGCAAAGCGCGGAGAAAAGTAGCTCGGAATAATTATACCATTCTCAGTAACTGACAAAGTAAAAGCTTGAGTATTCCGAGGCGAGAAGCTGAGTTGTGGAGCGTAAAACTGCAGACTTATGTGCCCGATGTTCTCTCGTTCTTATCCCGTGTTTCGGGAAAGTCTCATTAAAATTTACTATTGTTTAAATTTCTCGTTGCCTCGACTATTTCTTCCTGAGGCAAACGAGAAGAGCCTCGGCGTTACTTGCGGCGTTACTCTCAATGACGTAAATAGTCTGCAATGTCTCGCAATGCATTCGTCGTGGCGTCACGTACGCGCGTTCAAGCATCTGCGATTCATTTCACAGGACGGATTTTTCTTCAGTTCATCAGACATAATCCTACTCTCGTTTTCCTCCCGTAAGAATTTTCAAGTTTCGGCCACGATACGTGCTTTTCATAGCAATTGCGATGTACGTATTCGTACATCGTAGATTCCTTCTCATTTGTTTTGCACGCATGCTTCATTGTTCCCCGAGTGTGAGCATGAGATTTGTAAAGGCGTGCATTTTATATATATACATATATATGTGTGTGTGTGTGTGTGTGTGTGTGTGTGTGTGTGTGTGTGTGTGTGTGTGTGTGTGTGTGTGTGACAACGTTTTATTACAATCATTTTTTTACAATCTTTATTTGCAAAATATATCATAAACATTTTATTATGAATATTCGTATATTTTGCTGTGCTGTATGAGCATGAAATTAGGAATATTTATCTTTATTATTACTCTATAGCATGTAATGTAGTGAACAAGTAGTTGTTAAATACACAAATAATGACGTATGTAGCACGTGCCAAATGCAAATGAAGTGCTAATGTGTACATATATGCTTTTTTAAAATATATCTTTCAAATATATTGGCGATCTCTCTTTACATAATATTGTACATATGATGAGTATTCGTGCAGATTTATAAAATAATTCAATTCACTTAAGATGCTATGCATTTGTATGCTACTTACAAGTACTTGTAACTTTTCTGCTATATTTTTATATTTTTTCCAATAGTTCTTTATAATGTATAATAATAAGTGTTTCTTATCATTTAGCATGCATATATTTCTGTTTCAGGAACATATTTTATTCTATACGATTTCATTGACTTCTTCGAGAAAGATCAAGCCAGTTTTTTGGAGAGAGATAAATTTCTCAACATCATCAATACTATCTTCAAGAATATGTCGCAAATCGAGCGTGAAGCCATCATTTTTCAAGTAAGCCTCATTATATTATTTTTATGCATTACGCTATTATAAATTTTTATAAAGTTACGAATTTGAGCATAATACAATAATGATAAGTAATTTGAAAATACCTAGGCATTATTTATATTATAATATATTCATCTGTCTATTCTTCATTTAGAAAAATGGCACGTTAAGTCAATACTCGTTTTTATAAAAATATTGTTACTTCTTTTCCATGATGATGATTCTCTCGCTGCGCTTCGTGGACAGTTTTGTGTACAGAAAAATGAAACAGTATAATTAGAAAAAATAAACATTATTAAATCAAATTGGATTACTCACGTTCCGTAATATTTCATGCTTTTATTATATATCATATATTTGAAACTATTATAATTTTTAGAAAAGATAATATTAATCTTTCTTTTAGATAGAATCTGATATTTTTTATTTTTATCAAATAGTATAGATAAGTATAAATAATTACAATTTAGAGATTATCTGAATCAGAAGAAAGTTCTAATTTGCAAATTTTATTTTTGCCAATGTAAAAATATGGATTATACCATTGTGACTGGTTTCCATTTTAACGGAAATATGGATTATAACAATATATAATATGTGAGATGGGTAATTTGATATATTGGTGTGTTTTCCTTCTTCTTTTTCTTATTTTCCTTTGTAAGAAGGAAGGATGAGAGAGAGAGAGAGAGAGAGAGAGAGAGAGAGAGAGAGAGAGAAAGAGAGAGAGAGAAAGAAAGATATTACAATTCTGGAGAAAAAAGTAGCATAACTAGTCCCTCAGATAAAATACGTTCTGTAAGGTATGCATTCTTCATACTTTAATCTAATTTATTGACTAACGAGTTAGTCAATAAAAGGAATAATATACAAAGTAAATGCAGTAACAGCATTTCATTTTAATATGATTTATTTATACGAATAAAAAATAGGGTGCATTTTAAAGTGTTAAACGCTCTTCTAAAAAAGCAAAATTTTCCATGAGATTGTAACAAAACGAATTATGTTCTTATCATACAACATACAGAAATATACGTGTATGTTGACCAGCGAAGCGCAGAAGTGCAGCAGCACTCTGTGACCTATTTTTTGTAAACTAACCACTTAGCGAGACCTCGGCTGGATATTCATTGGCCTCAAGCGTTTTTCTTGTTAGCTAACTTCAACTTGTAATTGTCGCTAAGTTTCAGGCTTTATTTTTGCAGCATAAAGAAAAACAAGCAGACCATATGTCAGATGTCAATTTAATTGCTCATGGTTTGCCAGTGGATATTGGATAGAAAGAACTTTACCATTTATGCGCGTGCTTTTTCTTTTTTTCTTTATAACTAAATTTTATAAAAATAAAATTATAATAAGTATAATTTTTTGAGAAAGAGAATTTATATAATTTTATTTTTATTATATTTAATATATAATACATGATATATTATATTCAAAGACATTATGCCTTCTAATATATTTTTTAGCGTTTGAAACTTTAAATATTTATATATTTGCGACAAATTATAGACTCAAAATATCACAGTATTTCAATAATATTATACGCATGAATTTTCACGATTTACAGTAATGCGTTTATTTGTAAATAACGTGTGCTACGCATTGTAGCTGATAAACGCAATATAATTTCAACTTTCAGTTGTAATTGTGACTTATTTATGTATGCATGGATATCTTGCTGAAAATGTACGCCAGTTTCCGTTCGCTCGTCTAAAAAAGAATGATTATATTATTAAACGTACATTTCTCACTGATGCATATCGCGCCAGATACACGAACGAGCGAAAAATAAAAAACCGTTAATTGGAATGTCTACTCGCTATTTCTCTATTCCTTTCTCTACTGCTTTTTTCGCGTTCCTATCTTTTTTATGCGTTCGTTGATGTGGTTTTCCCCAAACCACAGTGCCCCGTATAATTGTAGTTATAACGAATCGTTATTTCTTTCTAATCAGAAAAAATTCCGCCTATCGGCCAATAAAGTTCAAATTTCTATTTGATTTGACTGGTTGCCAGAATATTTATCGATCTGTTAGCTTTTGAATGAACGGATTGTAATTAACTCTAAACATTACCTTACCCGTCGTATAATCATACACAAATGCAAATTATTTCAAATCGTATAGAGCTTTAGTTTATAATAATTACAATATATTAATGAGATTGATGATGATTCTATTATATTTTTTCTAGAAAATCAACATCTCTAGAAATATAATTGCCACGATGCTATAGTTCTGTCGAAAATATTTGTCTTGCAAAATTCATTATTAATACAATTGTGTTTTTTGAGATTTACAAAATATCCAATATAGAATATATAATTTCCAATAACATCTCCATATTTTCCAAAATATATCGTTATTATTATAACTGTGCATTTTATCGACAAATACACAATTGTTATTTGTTATGGATTAATGTGTAATCGAAATCGCTTCGAAAGAACTTTAAATGTCTTTGGCAATAATCCGGGACAAAGTATTCGATGAACTTCATATCAACTACAAATATCCGGATCTACAATCTGGTGAACATTACCTAGTGGTAGATATCCATATCATTACTTATTCGTATTTTCGCCGACAAATTATGAGAAAAGAATACGTTTTTGTTAATGATATGTGCAACCCTTGACAATAACTTTCAGTCAAACTTTTGTGACGAATGAAGCAACATTTATGAGAACTGTGTTTTAAATGTACATAATAATCATCAATGAAGGTATGAAAATATAAAAATGAAAATATATAAAAAAATAAATATATAGTATCCGAGAGAGAGAGAGTTTCAACAGCAATTCAAGTGTAATGTATGGGCGGGAATATGCAACAAATCGGATCTTACTTTTTAGTTGACAAATTAAGTCTTTTTTGGATTTCCAACAAAATGAATTGCAGTCAGAACTGGTAGGAAACCATTATTCCATTATTAATTCATCAA